TGGCATAGATGTAGAACATAGCTTGGAAGAACACATAGGCTGTTAAATAAGTTATTTTTTTAATTTTGCGCGGACAAACTCGCGGATAACTAGTACTAGATATTTTTTTAAATCTTTTTAGTGTTAAAAGTAGTACTAACATAGAACTGTCTAAACAACCTGTAGGTTAAATAAAAGTTGATTATATTTACTGTCTACTATTTGTTATATCACCTTTAATACTTTAGAAGTATTTTTAATAATCAATCCTTAGCTTTGACTTACAAAATGTTTGAGCTTACTTAAGTAAATGATCGGTGCTATTTGCACGATGTCGGTGGTTTCTATCAATTATTGACCGTAGCGAATGTGAAATGCCGCTTCGAAAGCTGCTTTCAGCTCACTTCATTTGCAACGTTAAAAGTAGGCTTACACTGCTGCTGCACTGCGTCTCGGAGGCCTAACTCAGTCATCTTTCCCTTCCCACCCTTTTTCTTACTCTATAATGTACTCACATAAATCACATTTGCACTAAATGTTAGCCTTCTTGTTATTTATTCTAGTACGTGTTTAAACACTAAACCGATATTCTACGTGCGTCGACTGTAAACATATGTGTTTTAACAACTGGCAGTATACAGTGTGTTTTATGTTTTAAATTATGCTATTGTAAATTTTATTGCTGGTAATAGAATTATTTAGTTGTTCAAAAGCTCAGTTTGACTTTTATGTAATACATTATTTTATGAAATTTTTGACATCCTGTATCTACATAAAACTTAAGTAATAACGAATATCCTTGCGTCGCTAATCTCGCGTCGCTCGCGCTCCGTATACACAACGTTGAATCGTCGACGCGAGTCGTCTATGGCATTGCGACTACATGTCAAATATACAGATGTGCTCCGCTATCTTGAAAATCAACGAGTTAACAGTTGCCTAGTCCGATTATTAATAGGCAAAGTTAACAACCAGTCAGTAACACCTTTGAAGGTGCTCGAAGTATACGTGTTTAAACAGATTTTACACCCACGTTTTATTAGAATTTGTATCTTTCACTTTTAAAGTGTGAAGTTTACTCGATTGCATTTCATATCTATGTGAAAACGCGGCTTACATCAAAAGGGTATATGAACGTTTTCAATAACCCTTTGTGTTATGTTTAACCATTGTAACAACGTATTTGAACAAGTGGTGCCGATCAAAGGTCTTTGTAACTTGGTAGTGTGTACTAACCCTAATGTGTTTTACGATTATCTAATTCTTTTAAAACTCTGATTTATCTAGTATTATATATAAAGGTAACCACTTTTTACATCTTACTTACTAATATTACAACCACGAATGTTTGGATGGATGGATGAATGAATGATTGATTCATTGTTATTCTAGAATTGTAATTTGGCATAGGTGTAGAACAATTCCTGAAAAAACACAAAGGCTACTATGTATTTTTTTAATTCCGCGTGAACGGAGTTGCAGACGACTGCTAATTTGTCTATAAAATTTCGCTGCCGAAATATTTGTATTGATAAATATTGTTATCCCTTTCATTATCGTTTAAAAAAGAGAGATAACAATATGTTTTAATTAAAGTGACACGGACAGTAGTATATCACTTTAAGATGGAATTAGGAAACTTACGATAAAGCTATATTGGAAGAAGGGTCTATTGTTTTAGTTTTTGAGAACTGAACTAATCTTTTAATAGATAAAAATGTTGTCAAAAGACATTACAGAATATTTTAAATTCCAATTAATTGATCCGAACAAGACAATATTAATCTAAAAAAAACTATTAACATGCACATAATGTCACGCTCAAATGTCCAGTTCAAGTCTTCCGTGAAATGTAATTGACAAGTCTTAAATCTAGACTTCCTAGAATTTCCTATATTCTACTCTAGCATGTAACGGGTGCATGTCTTGATTGTATCAGATCTCGATCGCTTCTCCGGTTTCAAAAGCGACCGCAAACAAAATCTTGAAACTGTCACTTCGCTTCACAGGATTTGTACATGCTACAGTCAATTCGTGAACTTCGTCAATTGATTATCATACTAATCAGAATTATAAATTGTAAATTTTGAACTGAAACATTCATTTATCGCCAGTTTATAAACTCGCAAAGACGTCGTAAAATTGTAAACTTATATGTTACTGCAATAATTAGGCACATTTCTGTATTATAAGGGTTAATATAATAAATCTATGTTTGATGAATAATAAAAAATCTGACGCTTTTATAAACCTAGTGATATTTCATACTGTCGATATTTACAAAGTGATAGTAACATGATTTATAGTCGGGTACATCAGACTAGTCAGGTCCACCTACATACAGTTATGACAGGCTAATAATAGTCGGGCAAGGAACGGGTGTACGATAACCGTACCATTCCCTCAGAACCTTATACGGTATTGAATTTAACGGGATATACCTTTCATGTTTTTACTAGTACATCAATTAATCTATAACACAATTGAGACTAACGGTAAGACTAGATAGCAATTAGGTGATCTGCAGTTCGTCAGATGTTAATTCAAAAAAATATTACGTGTTTTTTGTAGTGCAAATAATTGTATTCTGACCTTTATTAATCTTTGACGTGAGTAACATTTGGTAATTTTTTGTAAGAAAAGAAAATGTTTGAAGACTCAACAAAATAATTCTTAAAAACGCAGAATTCTACTTATCTTACTACTATTATAAATGCTAATATTTAAAATATTGGTGGATGGATGGACGTTTGCTAGAAGGTATCTCCAGAACGGCTCTAAGGAATTGGATAAAATTTGGCTTAGTCTGAAAGCGCACATAGGCTACTTATTATGTGTTTTCTAATACTCTGGACGGAATCGCGGGCTACAGTTCATTTTTATTTTCATTGGAAACTATAAAATTTTGTTACCCTCGTCTCCGAGTCAACCTTCCCATTAAGGTTAAATATTTTCCACTACTATTAAAACATTGACATATTTTTATCGATATATTACAGTAATCAACTTCCTAGTTTACATCTAAGGGCGACCGTACACGGTCAACTAGCAATCGGAATATAGCAGCATGTTTAAAAGCGACAGCAAACTGCACTTAGTTGCGAACGTCATGTTCTGATTGCTTGAAACTGTCCGTGTATGGGAGCCATTAATATGTTCATTCATTTGCTACTAGCTTGTAATAAAGAATGAAATCTGATAACTCGTAGTGCAATCACGTCCTATGCAAGTATGTTATGTATTTAAATTCTGCATAACTTAACTCTACTGGTTAAGGTACGTTTCCACTGTAACTCGAACGACCTTAAAGTGTATAACTATAAGTTATTTTGTTTATTAAAGTAGTTATTCCTATTAAATTATTCAATGTAAGACCTTCACTAAAATATCACATCCACGGTCCATAAAAGCTTAGGTACTTTTTTAATTAAATAGTTACTAGCGGTCGCCCGCGACAGTCTGCGTGGAATTGAAAAAAAAAACAAAATCAGCAGCCTATGTGTTCTTAAAGACTATGTTCTATATGTATGCCAAATTTCATTGAGAACCGTTCAGCCTATAACCTTCAAACAAATATCCATTCATCAATCCATCCATCGTAAAATTCGCATTTATAATATAAGTAAGATGACAATAACTTCAAAATTTATTTAAAGCAATCTACAATTTTAAAAATGTTGATACAGACAAAATTGCATGTTATATCTAGCCTTAAATCTATTCTAGAAATGTTCCATAAACTTGTGTGCTACTTTCTAGTATTTTGCATTTGAGTTATAAACATTAACGACATGTTATCAAATCAAGCAGCAATAACATCCACTGCGCTACTGATTAACAATTCAATTAAGACATGTCTAAGATCTAACCTATAATACTTAACTGTTTACTTAAGTTACAAGTAAGTGCTTACTTGGAAAAACTTGAGTTATATTACCAGTTTGTACTTAAAAATTAAATTTAACTTATGTTACTAATATTATAAATGTTAAGATGTATGCATGAATTTATTTTTGTTTGAAGGTACCTACAAAACGGCACTACCGGTTTTGATGAAATTTAGCATATACGTAGAGCATAGTGTGGAAGAACACATAGGGTACTAATTAAGTTTTTTGAATTCCAAGCAGACGAAATCGCATGCGACAGCTAGGTGTAAAACAATGTTGATCAATTTTATATGACTTTAACATTAAATTTTTTAACCACATACGTCACTTAGAGCTTCGCATTCTTAAACAGTAAAATGATGAATAGTTGTTATCTTTTAACTTTGAAAGATAAGATTAAAAGCGTAACCATGAAATCAATAACTTTATCTTGCCAGATTGACGTATTAACGTAGGTACATTGAGCTACGAGCAATATATGTTCCGCTGAAACATGTTCCTATAGAAACAAGTTCCGACATTATAAACGGAACACATTCAGGTTAAGTAACTTATATTAGACTCTGCACTTAATATGTCAATTTAATGACATCGTTAATATGTTAAATACTCGTCGAAAGATACATTGTTGTTAATACGACTTAACGTGGGTTTCTGAGTCCGAAATCCCCGTTTAAAACATATTGATATCTCTGTTTTTTCAAAGATAATGACAGAGATGATGACATGTTAAATACAGAGATTTTGTTCTCGAACACCAACGCTCACTAAAACAAAGCTGCGTTACAAGTACTTTTATTTATATCAATAAATTTGATATTATTATATTTAAGAAGAAAAAGACATTAACAAAAAATGTGACCACACCGATGTAGGGTAGTTGATCATAGTATCTCGCGCACGAGCAAAAACGGGAGCATTGAGTGAATCATCAGTCAGAATTATACGAGCCACCGTCGTGAGCGGACGTCTGGTGTAGGTATTTCCAAGCCAGTATTCAGCAGCATTACCACCATATCCCACAATACAATATGTAAAATTACTAATACAAGTTATTAGTACTAATGTAACATTAGAATAGATTTAATAAATTATGTCTTTTTAATATTAAAACGTTGATGTTTGTTTCAGAGATACTTTATACCGATTGTCACTACGAGGATTAAGACCTCTAGAACGTTCAGAATGGCCCGCAGCTCCAGAGAAGACGAGGTTGTGCCAAGTGAAGGGGCAGACGGAAGAAGACTGTCACAATTACATCAAAGTTCTTCTGTCGTACGGTCATAAGCTATTAGCTTGTGGAACCAATGCTTTCAGTCCGATGTGCAGTTGGAGAGAGGTAAGTGTACAATGATATCTACATCTAAATCTAATCTTCCTTGTCAAGAAACACTAGGTTAGGTTAGGAAGGAGTCGTCACGTAGTCGGTTATTTTTACTACAACCCTGCTAGTTCTAAAAGACCACTTCCAAGCTTATAAATCATAGCACTTAACTACCCTTTTTAATTTTCCCGTGAACCAGATAGAGGAGATAAGGAACGTGTCAGAATGGCTGCCGGGCGTTGTGCTCTGTCCACACAGCCCGCACTCCAACGTCACCGCATTGCTGGCCAGCAATGGAGAGTACTACGCGGGCACGCCCACTGACTTTGCTAGCTCTGATACTACGATATCCAGGTAAACTACCCATTACATCATTCAACCTTTCAACAAGGGTCAAAAATATTTTGCGATATTCGTATGAAGAAAAATATAAGTGTGAAGTCAACCCTCACTGGGCCAGCGTTGGGCAGGTTGACTATGGCCTAGTTACTCCTCACTAAGGGCACTCAGTAACCTATAGTGAGCTGATGATGATGATATTCTTCCATTACTACTAAATAATGTTGACCCTACTATTTACGGGGTATTAGTCAGCCTTTACCTAATTAAGATTGACGAGTAAAGTGTTATCTACTTTCCTTTATTAAGGAGAAGGAAGTTTCTAATACAAAGAGTACCGAGTCAATTATTTATCAGACGAATTGTCGATGCATTTTTACATCTTGACTGTATATTCCTAGATCGTGGAACTTCGCTTCAATAAACACATTCACAAAGCGTTTTAAAAGTAAAAAAAGAGGCAATTTATGTAACATTATTCATTCCAAACACTTAAGAACACTTTCCTTAGAAACGCAACACCAACTTTCTTGAGACTTCTTGCTTTTTTTACTTATATTATTACAGTTTAGAATGCGAAACACGTTTTGTCTACGTGCAACGTCTCGTCTGTTGATTGTTTACAACATTTTTTACAAAATATCTTACCTCATTGTTATTACATTTGCAAAAATAAGTTCGTAGTTACATTAACTTCATAGTTAAATAAGAAATCATGGAACTAGTGGCGATATATGTCGTTAACTGTAATCTCCCTTAGTGTAGGTTTCTGAGTACAATTTATTCTATTCCTTTCCCTCAGGAGTCGCGGTGCAGCTACTGTGGACACGGGAATGCTGCGTACAACTCAATACGATCTTAATTGGCTGAACGAACCTCACTTTGTGGGTAGTTTCGAGGACGATTACTACGTCTACTTTGTGTTCAGAGAGGTCGCTGTTGAACATTTGAATTGCGGCAAGGTGAGACATAAATATATATCAATATATTTTAAGACATTATTAATTAGAATCCTTTGACGCGAATGACGTGCTTTCGTTACAAAGTCCAGTGTCAGAGTGAATAGTGAGGGGACATAAACGTCGACATTTTAGTAAGGCTAGTGTTGGTATATACACTGCCACATTTTCGAGAATGGCTAAACGGATTTATTTGGTATATCTTGGTCTTGAAATTTTTGTGGAGGTCTAGGGAAGGTTTAAAAGGTGAGAAAAATTCCAACAATTGCCAGAAACTAATTAAGTTTTTTCCATTCCCCGCGGGCAAAATCGCGGGCGACAGCTAGTTTAGTATTTCGACTGACAATTTAGATTTCGCAATAATTTTAATGCACTTGTAAAAACTCTCTAATAACTCAAGTTGACATATAATTATGATAGTTTTTATTTATCAGATTTACCGATGGTTTCTGAGATCAACTGAATTTTATTTATTTAAGTTTAAATTTAGTTTTCACTGACAAATTTTAATGTCAATACTAAATTATCATTAACGTAAGACATTTGAACACACGATAAATTAAACAGTTTGTTGACATTTAAATGATAATAAAATATATTATTTATATTAATATCCTACATTAAAACGTAAATACCTTTTTAATTTAATATGTTTATATTTCAATTAACATAACACGAATTGAAACCGATTTATGTATTCCTAATTAATTGGAAACATGGTTCCAAGGTTCAATGTACTTTGATTTACTTCGTCTCATTTATTTTTAATTGAAAATACAAAATTAGTAACCGGTTTAGAAATAGTTAGCCCATAAACAAATAAATGAGAATTAAACTGATATAAAAACGGCTAAACAATCAAATATATTCATCCGGTGGAGGCACCGACTAGTTTCGAGCCCATTGGGGACCCTTCCTTAGGGTGATTGGGACCGGTATTATTTCGCGGACGCGACTCCCAGCTCAATGACTCTCATTTTTTCATATAAGTTTATTACTATTATTATTATTTTACTTAAAACACTTTTTATTCACAGACGATATATTCAAGAATAGCTCGCGTATGTAAAAACGATTCTGGCGGGCACCGCGTCATGAGACACAATTGGAGCACGTTCTTAAAGGCACGACTGACGTGTCCCGTGCCCGGGGACATCCCCTTCTACTACGACGAGGTTCAAAGTGTTGAATATATTCCCCAGGAAAAGATATTAGTCGCTACGTTTACCACACTTACGTAAGTATTATGAACGCTTAAATCCTCTTTCATATTTTCTATAGATTTCCTGTGTTCTTTTGCCAGAATTATTCATGTGAGTTAATTACATTGTAATCTCGTACAGAGTAAACTATCGAACCAATTTTGACGATAGAGATGTTATTTCATTCTCAACCTTCTTGTCTTTGCTATAAATAACATTTTAGCATAAACCACATGTTTTATTTCAATTTTGTGATTTAAAACTTTTTTTTAAATTTAATATCGTTATTTCTTACAGTAACAGTATAACAGGCAGTGCCGTGTGCATCTACAATATGTCGGATATACGCGCGGCCTTCGAGGGCCCTTATAAGGTGCAGACCTCGCCCTCCTCCGCCTGGGAGTCTCGCGCGCCCTCACACGAGTCCAGGGAACATTTTAGATGCGCTACTGATACCAGGTCCGTCTCCTCTTCTCTTTTACTGTGTCTCTTTTTGTCTCGTTTCCTTAGTCAAGTAATTTAAGAAATATTTTTTTTCGTATTTTTATCTGCTTGATTTAGATCGTAAAATATTAGTTTGCCGTACCACCACATATACTTTTGATATCAACGTTGAATAAGCTCAACTACAGTATATTTTTTTATTACCTAGCTCTTAGACTACTAACAAAAAAATCACATAACTGTGAGGAAGATAATCCGACACTGTGCCGGTGTACTGGCGCAACACTAGCCTTACTAAAATGTCACCGTTTATGTCCCCTCACTAATCATTCTGACACTTGACTTCGTAATGAAAGCGCGTCATTCCCGCTAAAGGATTCCAACTAATAATGTCTAAAATTACTTAGCTCTTAGACTTTCCTGTCTTCCTATATTACATTTTTCTGCAAAAATATCACATGATATACAACTGTCTGACATCTTAAGACATTAAGGCTTATTAAACCTAGGTTGCAATACCCACGTACAGATAACAAAAAAAATTATTAATTTCGCTACAGAACACATGAAACAATGGAATTCCAAAGATATCAGTTAATGTACGAATCAATCCGCCCCATATCCGGGGAGCCTGTCTACAAGGTGACGTCACAGCGCTTCACACACGTCACCGTTGACGTCACCAAGACCAAGCAGATGGACAAACAACTAGTCGTGTTCGTTGCCACACAGAACAGTGACGTCATCAAGTTGGCCATACTGCCCAGATATGAAGGCGCATGTTTGGTACAAATATGGAGACTGAAAGATGCAAATGGCGGCATAAATATAATGGCAATGCAGTTTGTTAAAGAAACGGTAAGTAAATATTATTTTATGAGTAATACGTAATATTGAAACTGTGTAAAAAATATTACACAAAAAAACATTACTTTCCGTTTTGTATGGATGGATGGATATTTGTTTGAAGGTGTTTCCACAACGGCTCAAAGGATCTTGATAAAATTTTGTATTTATGAAGAACATAGTCTGAAAGAACACGTAGGTTACTAATTAACATTTTGACATTAATCATTACGGATGGAGTCGCGGGCAACAGCTGGTATAAATGAGAATGCTTAGATGTATGGATGGATGGATGTTTGTTTGAAGATATCTTCAGTTTGGCTAAAAAGATCTTGCTGAAATTTAGTATAGATATCTGGAAGAACACATAGGCGTTTTATTAAATTCAGCATGGATATAGTCGCCTGCGTCTGTTTATTTTAAATAAAAAAAGTTCTGTAATAATATGAAGAAACAGAGAAACTCTTTGTTTACTTATAAAATTCTATCTTACTAATATTATAAATGCGAATGTTTAGATGGATGTATGTATGTTTCTTTGAAGATATCTGTTACTAGAACATGTATGCTACTAATTAAGGTTTTTTTAAAGTATATTTGTAGGTAATATCGGTATGTGACTGTGTCCAGATGTCAGTGTACATAGGCAGTGAGAGGGGCGTGTTGCGTGTGGGCGGGGAGCGGTGCGGCCGGTACCGCAGCCGCGCGCCCTGCGTCTCCGCCACAGACCCGCACTGCGGCTGGGACGAGGCGCGCGACCTCTGCGTGCGCGCTCCGCCCCATCTGCACCACGCATACTTCACGCAGACCACTGCCGCCTGCCCCACTCTGCACACACCTGGTCGGTTACCTAAACTTTCATCCTGACTAATATTATAAATGCGGAAGTAACTCTGTCTGTCCTTTCTTGCTTTTCATCGAGATCCATTCAGCTTTTAATATGAGAAAAAGAAAAGGGCTGTTTTTAGTGTTTTTCCGGCAATTATTCGAATTTTTCTCACATTTTAAACTGCTCTAGACTTCTACGAACATTTCAAGACCAAGATAAGATAAATTCGTTCAGCAGTTATTGAGTTTTCGCAGAACGAACAGCAATTGAATTTTATAAATATTGAAAATAACGACCTCCATTCATGTGGGTCAAAAATCTTTATAACCAAATGTTTATTTAGTTGAGT